CTCGAGGTCGACGCTTGCCTCTGCCTTCAGAGCCGCAGCAGGCGCGGCAGCGGTGACGAGCAGGACGGTGAGCCGAAAAGGTACCATTGCACCAGTGCGGCAGCGCACTGCGTTGCGGGATGCTGAAAGTATTAGAAAGGTGCAGTGGAACGAAATCACGGCGGCGAGCAATCAGAGCCCCCGGCGAGTATGGCTTGAGCCGAAGTGGCTGCGGACCCCCCATGGCGAGAAGGAGGAGGATGAGGAGGAAGAGGAGGATGAGGAGGAAAACGATGAGCACGAGAGGGGGGAGAACGCTGGAGGAGGTCCAGGGGGCGCAGGAGCACGAGGAGGAGGACGAGGGCAGGAGGAGGACGATGCGAGCGGCCAGGGGGGTGGGTCAGAGGGGAGCAGCACCAAAACGAGGAGGAGGCCCAGACACGCGGTGCCTCGACTTTTCCATGGCAGCGCGCGCAGAGGGGTAGGGGGAAGGGAAAGGAAAGGCGGGGAGGTGTGGGACCCGGGGCCGGCGGGGGGCAGTATTCATGAATATTATATAGAACCGCTCGCTTGGGTTCTATTACCGCATGGCCATGGCGTTGTTAGCTGCGTGTTGCTGTTTCGAGACAAGGCTCATTCCATTCCTTGAAACCCTCTCTCCAATAGGTCCCTACAAGCGTCATCCTCGTAACCCTCCAGACTCTCCCGGTTGTCCTCGCTTTTCGTTTCCTCGTTCTTATCGCTCGGCTCCTCTTGCTTGGATTATGCGGGGCTTCGAGCTGTTCAGGGCCGGCGTGGGAAGATATTCAATATGAAGTGGGCTGGCTTGAAATGTACGGATCTCTTGTGGATATTCCTGTTTGGGCTGCCTTGAAGGCCTTGGGGCCCGCCTGGGCCCCTCTTGGGCTCTTCTTCGAAGTTGTGGGGCCGTCTCGAGCCTCGGCGCCATGTGAAGCTCTCCCGAAGCCATCCGAAGGAGACGAGCGCGAGATTTACTGAGTATGGAGAAACCTGAACGGCTTTTGCATTTGTGGCTCTCTGGGGTCACTTGGGAGGGCCTTTGGGAGTTCCACTGGGGCATCTTGTGGCCCCTGTGGGCCGCCTTGAAACATCTTGGACCACTAAGGGGCCATCTTGGCGGCCAGCGGGCGTCGCTTGCTCTGAGTAGAAAGTGCCTGGGATGCAGCGGCCAGCGCTGTACATGAGCTGCTACCTTGGGCTGCAGCTCGCTGGATACTGCTGCGTGAAAGGCGATGCTACCCTGGGCTGCAGCGCCATGCAATTAAATACCCCCGCATTACTTATCCCACACGGCACTTGAACGAGAGATGGACATGCTTGGTTCGTGTACGACCTTCTGTCCTGAGTCCTGAATGGATGAGCATCTAACCCAAATCCAAAATTCCCGGATTCCTTGGGGCCTTCGGAGACTCCGCGAAATCGTTCAGAAGCCGGGAGGCGCGGTGCTGGCCAGATGTCAGGGGATGTGTGGGACCCCCCAGTAGGAGTTCCACTTTGATAAACAAGGGAATTCTTGGAATTCCCTCTCTATTTGTCCAACATCCTCGATCTTTGAGTGTTGGGAAGGGGAGAACGTGAGAAGGCGAAAAACATCGGAAAAATCAAAGGAAATCAACGATGTTACCCTCTTTGGGCTCTCTCGGGACGGCTCTCGCAGCTCTCTTGGGCTGTTCTTGGAGCCTCGTCGGGGTCCCTTTGGGGCCTCTCAGAGATCGGGGGTGTGTTGGGGGCCTCTAGGGGGTCCTGGAGGCCTCTCGGAAGTCCCTGGAATCCTCCTGCTCCCGCTCTTGGGCCCATCTTGGGCCTGTTCTGGGGTGGTCTGGGGCTGTGCTAAGCGCCTCTTCAACAGTCTTGGAACCATCTTGGTCCGTCTTGGGGACGTCCTGAGGGTCTCTTGGGAGGTCTTGGGGCGGTCTTGGGAGCCTCTTCGGCGCTCTCGGACCGTGGAAAGCTCGAAAACGCGAGAAGCCAAAAACATTGAACAAACAATTGAAAATCTACGACTTTGGCCTCTTCGGGCCGTCCCGTGACACCTATCAGGCCTCTCTTGGGGTCTCTTGGAGGCTACATGGGAGCCTTGGGAGCGACTTGGGAGCGTCTTGGGCCATCCTTTCGCATTCTGGGGGCTCCGGGAAGGCGTCTTGGGCCCTCCTGGAGCGCTGTGGAGGCTCCCCAGAAAGGCTGGGGGAACGGCACCGGGAGCGTCCCCGAGATGTGGCGGGGAGGTGTGGGACCCGGGGCCGGTGGGGGGCGGTATCTATTCATTATATATATATATACACATACATACATCTATATACAGAACCACGCGCGCGCGCTTCGCGCGCGCTTAGGTTCTAGCGTATCACAAACACAGGACTCGCTGTGCGAAAAAATGTTTGGAGTTTCTCAGGCAAGTGAGGACTCCAGTGACTCCAGTGGCAACACCTGCTTGAGGCACCGCCGGGGGCGGACCCTGTGTAGAGTGTGGGAAGTCGGACCAGCTCTCTGGTCGACCCTCTTGGGCGCGCCCTGGGGCTCTTTTAGGCCGTTTTGGGGGGCCCATTGGGGGGCTGTTTCGGAGCCTCGTGTGGTCCTTTTTCGGGTCTCTTGGGGGCCTTTTGGGGCTTCTTGGGCGCTTCTTGGAGCCTCTTGGGATCTCCTGAGGGCCTCTTAGGCCAACACGCCGACTATTCAGTTCCTCGTCCCCATCTTGGGCGCCGACTCGGGGCATTCTTCGGTTTTTGGGGCGCATCGGGAGGCCGACTGGCCCCCTCGTGGGCAGTCTGAGCCCTCTTGGGGGGCATCCTCGACCGGCTTGGGTGCTGGCTGCTGGGCAGGAGTCTTTGGACGGAAAGATAACAAGAGAGAAAGCCACCCCCCACCTATAAAACGACATATCGGCGAGTGGTGAAGTCCACCAACAAGGCGAACACGCCAAAAAATCAGTTTTCCGATGGGAAATCGACGATGTTTGCTTATTTGGGGCTCTATTGGGGTGCCTCTTGGGAGCCTCCCGGGGGTCTCTTGGGGGCCTCTTGGGGCCTCTGGGGGCCTCTTGGGGCCTCCTGGAGACCTCTTGGGGCCTCCTGGGAGCCTCTGGGGCCGAAAGCTCGGAATTTGAATATGGTTGTGCACCTCTGGAACCCCTCTGGGGCTCGTCCTGGGGCTCTCTTGGGCTGTCTTGGGGGCCTCTCTGGCCGTCTTGGGACCCTCTTGGGCCGTCTTGGGACCCTCTTGGGGTCGTCTTGGAGCCCTCCTGGGTGCCTCTTGGGCAGTCTTGGGGGCCAAGCCCCAAAGGCGAACACGCCAAAAATATCAGCTCCCCCATAGGAAATCCACGACTTTTGCTTATTGGGGCTCTATTGGAGTGCCCCTTGGGGCGTGTTCGGGGACTCTTTTTGTGTTTTTGCGGGTCTCTTGGGGACCTCTTGGGGCTTCTTGGGTGCTTCTTGGAGCCTCTTGGGGTCTCTTGGGGGCCTCTTGGCAAATTGGCTCGCATTTTCGGTTCCTCGGTCCCCGTCTGGGCGCCGACTTGAGCGTTGTTTGAGCTGTTTAGATGTCTCGGTGGGCGCTCTGGCCCCCTAGTGGGCCATTCTTGGATGCCCGCTAGGGGCATCCTCGACCACTTGGGTGCCTCTTGGCCGGGTTGGACGCAATCAGTGGAAAGCCCCAAGGCGAAGCACGCCAACACAATATGAGCGCGCTGGAAGGAAATCAGCGTGTTTGCATAGTTTGGGAGCCTCCTGGTGAGTCTCTTGGGGGCCTCTTGGGGCCTCTTGGAGGACCTTTGGGGGCCTGCTGGGGACCTCTTGGGCATCTGGGAGGCTCTCCTGGGCTGTCGTTGGGGGGCTCTCGGGCCGTTATTCTTGGGACCCTCTTGGGGTCGTCTTGGATCCCTCTTGGGAGCCTGTGGGGCAGTCTTGGGGACCTCTTGGGCCGTCTTGGACGCAGTGGAAGCCCAAAAGGCGAACACGCCAAACACATCAGTTGCCCATCGGAAATGAGTTTTACTTATTGGGCCTCTCTCGGGGTGCCTCCTGGGGCGTCTTCGGGGGCCTTCTTGGCGTCATGGGAGTCGTCTTGAAAGGCGTCTGGAGCCGTCGCTGCGGCCTCCCTGCAGCCTCTTGGGGCCCTGTTGGCCCCGGGTCGCCCAAACCCCGTAAAAAACAGGGAAAATGACGCCCGGGCCCCCGGCCCCCGGCCCCCGGACCCGGTCCCACGTTAGATGTTTACGAGCATTAACATGGGGGAGACGGGTCCTGCGGGATGAGGGTCCTGGACCAAGGGGCCTTCGCCCAGGACGAATTTCTTGATTCTGAATCGTTTTTTCTGACCGTCCGTCCCGGGTTCCGTGGAGGGGCCCAGAGAAACCGAAAACTGCGAACAGCTATCAGACCCCTTCCCATAAAGGGAAACCCGCTTCCCACGGCGAGCAGGCGGCACGCGCGAAAAAGGATGTGGACGGCAAACCGATCATACAAAAACAGTGCGGCGCAGGTGTCGTCCGCCAGAATCAAAATGCAAAGCAAGGTGCTTGAGAACATCCCGATTGGCAAGCTAGACCCCAGATGAAACAACACACCCTCCCGAACGCGATGCGGTACCACTTCACCGACGACTCCGACACGGCGTCGTCGCCGTCGCCGACTGCATCCGCGCCGGCGCCCGCGTTTCGGCAAGGTGGTTTGTGACGGGCCAAGGCCTGTGGCAGAGACTGCTGTCGTGTACACCCTGTTCCTCTGGCTGTCACCAACGCCTCGGTCTCCGGAGCTCAAGCTTGAGGACAGTTCCATTTGCTGGAGTGCCAAACGAGATCCGACTTTCGCGCAGCTGTGAACTGTGCCTCGAGACGATGCACAAAGATCTTAAGCATTTGTGATGCCACTGGATGTGGTTCACCTGGAGGATCTCATCGCCAGCGAGTATCTTCGCGTCGGGGTGTTCCTTGTTGTACATGGACACAAGACCAGTGTTACGCATCTTCTCGATAGAGATTGGCATCCAGTCCACCGTCGCATTCAACTTCCATCCCATCGCCTGGTTGAGTGAATCATCAGGAAGCACACCTTTGAGAGGAATCTCAGCCACGAACTCTTTCGAATACAACTGTCTGTGCAGATCTTCGCGTTGCGATTGCTCACGATGCTCCTGCTTCTTCCTGGGGCGCTGGATAATTAAAGTCAAGGTGTTCCTTGCGCCAGGCACACGGCCCCTGGATGCCAAAAACTGGCCCTGGATGCGCTTTGCAAACGTTCCTGAATTATGATGCCACATGATATCGTTCACCTTCATGATTTCGTCGCCGACCAAAATCGCCTTGTCTGGATGGAGCTTGTTCCAAGCTTCGAGGATGCCCGTCTTTCGGATTTTCCTGACAGAAACGGGCTCGTAATCAGTGTCCAGGTTCAGCACGACGCCGACGGACTTTTTATGGGCCTCAGACACGTCGAGGGCCACCACGAACTCCTTCTCGAACTTGGAGGCATGCAGGGCGGCGCGCTCCTGCGGAGAGAGCGTCACCGACGCATCCGAGCCTTCTCCCAGGGACTCCACCTCAGTGGCGCCCGTTTGAGCCCCATCGGATTTCCCGCTGCGGTGGATTGCGATGTCGAGGAGTGCCTCGAGGTCGACGCTTGCCTCTGCCTTCAGAGCCACAGCAGGCACGGCAGCGGTGACGAGCAGGACGGTGAGCCGAAAGGGTACCATTGCACCAGTGCGGCAGCGCACTGCGTTGCGGGATGCTGAAAGTATTAGAAAGGTGCAGTGGAACGAAATCACGGCGGCGAGCAATCAGAGCCCCCGGCGAGTATGGCTTGAGCCGAAGTGGCTGCGGACCCCCCATGGCGAGAAGGAGGAGGATGAGGAGGAAGAGGAGGATGAGGAGGAAAACGATGAGCACGAGAGGTGGGAGAACGCTGGAGGAGGTCCAGGGGGCGCAGGAGCACGAGGAGGAGGACGAGGGCGGGAGGAGGACGATGCGAGCGGCCAGGGGGGTGGGTCAGAGGGGAGCAGCACCAGGATGAGGAGGAGGCCCAGACACGCGGTGCCTCGACTTTTCCATGGCAGCGCGCGCAGAGGGGTAGGGGGAAGGGAAAGGAAAGGCGGGGAAGTGTGGGACCCGGGGCCGGCGGGGGGCAGTATTTATTAATATTATATAGAACCGCGCGCTTGGGTTCTAGCGCATGCCATGGCGTTGTTAGCTGCGTGTGCTGTTCGGACAGGCTCATTCCATGCCTTGCCTTACCTCGTCCTCCAATAGTCCTTCTACGTCCTTCCTCGTTAACCCTCCAGACTCTCCCGGTTGTCCTCGCTTTTCGTTTCTCGTTCTTATCGACGGCCTCCTCTTGCTTGGGATTATGCGGGGGCTTCGAGCTGTTCAGGGCCGGCGTGGGAAGATATTCAATATGAAGTGGGCTGGCTTGAAATGTACGGATCTCTTGTGGATATTCCTGTTTGGGCCCGCCTGGGCCCCTCTTGGGCTCTTCTTCGAAGTTGTGGGGCCGTCTCGAGCCTCGGCGCCATGTGAAGCTCTCCCGAAGCCATCCGAAGGAGACGAGCGCGAGATTTACTGAGTATGGAGAAACCTGAACGGCTTTTGCATTTGTGGCTCTCTGGGGTCACTTGGGAGGGCCTTTGGGAGTTCCACTGGGGCATCTTGTGGCCCCTGTGGGCCGCCTTGAAACATCTTGGACCACTAAGGGGCCATCTTGGCGGCCAGCGGGCGTCGCTTGCTCTGAGTAGAAAGTGCCTGGGATGCAGCGGCCAGCGCTGTACATGAGCTGCTACCTTGGGCTGCAGCTCGCTGGATACTGCTGCGTGAAAGGCGATGCTACCCTGGGCTGCAGCGCCATGCAATTAAATACCCCCGCATTACTTATCCCACACGGCACTTGAACGAGAGATGGACATGCTTGGTTCGTGTACGACCTTCTGTCCTGAGTCCTGAATGGATGAGCATCTAACCCAAATCCAAAATTCCCGGATTCCTTGGGGCCTTCGGAGGCTCCGCGAAATCGTTCAGAAGCCGGGAGGCGCGGTGCTGGCCAGATGTCAGGGGATGTGTGGGACCCCCCAGTAGGAGTTCCACTTTGATAAACAAGGGAATTCTTGGAATTCCCTCTCTATTTGTCCAACATCCTCGATCTTTGAGTGTTGGGAGGGGGAGAACGTGAGAAGGCGAAAAACATCGGAAAAATCAAAGGAAATCAACGATGTTACCCTCTTTGGGCTCTCTCGGGACGGCTCTCGCAGCTCTCTTGGGCTGTTCTTGGAGCCTCGTCGGGGTCCCTTTGGGGCCTCTCAGAGATCGGGGGTGTGTTGGGGGCCTCTAGGGGGTCCTGGAGGCCTCTCGGAAGTCCCTGGAATCCTCCTGCTCCCGCTCTTGGGCCCATCTTGGGCCTGTTCTGGGGTGGTCTGGGGCTGTGCTAAGCGCCTCTTCAACAGTCTTGGAACCATCTTGGTCCGTCTTGGGGACGTCCTGAGGGTCTCTTGGGAGGTCTTGGGGCGGTCTTGGGAGCCTCTTCGGCGCTCTCGGACCGTGGAAAGCTCGAAAACGCGAGAAGCCAAAAACATTGAACAAACAATTGAAAATCTACGACTTTGGCCTCTTCGGGCCGTCCCGTGACACCTATCAGGCCTCTCTTGGGGTCTCTTGGAGGCTACATGGGAGCCTTGGGAGCGACTTGGGAGCGTCTTGGGCCATCCTTTCGCATTCTGGGGGCTCCGGGAAGGCGTCTTGGGCCCTCCTGGAGCGCTGTGGAGGCTCCCCAGAAAGGCTGGGGGAACGGCACCGGGAGCGTCCCCGAGATGTGGCGGGGAGGTGTGGGACCCGGGGCCGGTGGGGGGCGGTATCTATTCATTATATATATATATACACATACATACATCTATATACAGAACCACGCGCGCGCGCTTCGCGCGCGCTTAGGTTCTAGCGTATCACAAACACAGGACTCGCTGTGCGAAAAAATGTTTGGAGTTTCTCAGGCAAGTGAGGACTCCAGTGACTCCAGTGGCAACACCTGCTTGAGGCACCGCCGGGGGCGGACCCTGTGTAGAGTGTGGGAAGTCGGACCAGCTCTCTGGTCGACCCTCTTGGGCGCGCCCTGGGGCTCTCTTAGGCCGTTTTGGGGGGCCCATTGGGGGGCTGTTTCGGAGCCTCGTGTGGTCCTTTTTCGGGTCTCTTGGGGGCCTTTTGGGGCTTCTTGGGCGCTTCTTGGAGCCTCTTGGGATCTCCTGAGGGCCTCTTAGGCCAACACGCCGACTATTCAGTTCCTCGTCCCCATCTTGGGCGCCGACTCGGGGCATTCTTCGGCGGTTTGGGCGCCTCGGGGGCCGTCTTGGCCCCCTCGTGGGCCGTCTTGGAGCCCTCTTGGGGGCATCCTCGACCGGCTTGGGTGCTGCTTGGGCCGTCTTGGACGCAGTGGAAGCCCCAAAGGCGAACAAGCCAAAACTATCAGTTTTCCTATCGGAAATCAACGAATTCTGCATAGTTGGGGCTCTATTGGTGTGCCTCTTGGGAGCCTCCTGGGGTTTCTTGGGGGCCTCTTGGGACCTCTGGGGGGCCTTTTGGGGCCTGCTGGGGACCTCCTGGGGCTTCCTGGGAGCCTACGGGGCCGAAAGCTCGGAATTTGAATATGGTTGTGCACCTCTGGGGCCCGTCTGGGGCTCGTCCTAGGGCTCTCTTGGGCTGTCTTGGGGGCCTCTCGGGCCGTCTTAGGACCCTCTTGGGGTCGTCTTGGAGCTCTCTTGGGAGCCTGTGGGGCAGTCTTGGGGGCCTCTTGGGCCGTCTTGGACGCAGTGGAAGCCCAAAAGGGGAACACGCCAAACACATCAGCTTTCCCATAGGAAATCGACGATGTTTGCTTAGTGGGGCTCTATTGAAGTGCCCCTTGGGGCGTGTTCGGGGATTTTGTTTTATGTTATTAAGGGTCTCGTGGGGACCTCTTAGGCCTTCTTGGGCGCTCCTTGGAGCCTCTTGGGATCTCCTGCGGGCCTTTTGGGCAAAATGGCTCGCATTTTCGGTTCCTCGTCCCCGTCTTGGGCGCCGACTTGGGGCGTTGTTGAGCGGTTTAGGTGTCTCGGGGGCCGTCTTGGCCCCCTCGTGGGCCATCTTGGAGCCCTCTAGGGGGCATCCTCGACCATCTTGGGTGCCTCTTGGGCCGTGTTGGACGCAGTGGAAGCCCCAAAGGCGAACACGCCAAACATATGAGTCTTCCTATATGAAATCAGCGATGTTTGCATAGTTTGGGAGCCTCCTGGGGGTCTCTTGGGGGCCTCTTGGGGCCTCTGGGAGACCTTTGGGGGCCTGCTGGGGACCTCTTGGGGCCTCCTGGGAGGCTCTCCTGGGCTGTCTTGGGGGCCTCTCGGGCCGTCTTGGGACCCTCTTGGGGTCGTCTTGGAGCCCTCTTGGGAGCCTGTGGGGCAGTCTTGGGGACCTCTTGGGCCGTCTTGGACGCAGTGGAAGCCCAAAAGGCGAACACGCCAAACACATCAGTTGCCCATCGGAAATGAGTTTTACTTATTGGGCCTCTCTCGGGGTGCCTCCTGGGGCGTCTTCGGGGGCCTTCTTGGCGTCATGGGAGTCGTCTTGAAAGGCGTCTGGAGCCGTCGCTGCGGCCTCCCTGCAGCCTCTTGGGGCCCTGTTGGCCCCGGGTCGCCCAAACCCCGTAAAAAACAGGGAAAATGACGCCCGGGCCCCCGGCCCCCGGCCCCCGGACCCGGTCCCACGTTAGATGTTTACGAGCATTAACATGGGGGAGACGGGTCCTGCGGGATGAGGGTCCTGGACCAAGGGGCCTTCGCCCAGGACGAATTTCTTGATTCTGAATCGTTTTTTCTGACCGTCCGTCCCGGGTTCCGTGGAGGGGCCCAGAGAAACCGAAAACTGCGAACAGCCTCAGGACCCCTTCCCCTCAGGACCCGCTTCCCCCACGGCGAGCAGGCGGCACGCGGAAAATGGATGTGACGGCAAACCCGATCATCCAAAACAGTGCGGCGCAGTGTCGTCCGCCAGAATCAAAATGCAAAGCAAGGTGCTTGAGAACATCCCGATTGGCAAGCTAGACCCAGATTGCAACAACACCCTCCCGAACGCGACTTACTCCACTTCACTCGACGACTCCCGTCTCGGCGTCGTCGCCGTCGCCGACAGCATCCTCGCCGGCGCCCGCGTCTTCCGGCAAGGTTGTTGTGACGGGCCAAGGCTGGGCAGAGTACTGCTTCGTGTACACCTGTTCCTCTGGCGTGTCACTCACCGACCTCGGTCTCCGGATGCTAAGCTTGAGGACAGTTCCATTGCTGGGAGTGCCAACGAGATCCGACTTTCGCGCAGCTGTGAACTGTGCCTCGAGACGATGCACAAAGATCTTAGCATTGTGATGCCACTGGATGTGGTTCACCTGGAGGATCTCATCGCCAGCGAGTATCTTCGCGTCGGGGTGTTCCTTGTTGTACATGGACACAAGACCAGTGTTGCGCATTTGTTCGATAGAGATTGGCATCCAGTCCACCGTCGCATTCAACTTCCATCCCATCGCCTGGTTGAGTGAATCATCAGGAAGCACACCTTTGAGAGGAATCTCAGCCACGAACTCTTTCGAATACAACTGTCTGTGCAGATCTTCGCGTTGCGATTGCTCACGATGCTCCTGCTTCTTCCTGGGGCGCTGGATAGTTAAAGTCAAGGTGTTCCTTGCGCCAGGCACCCGGCCCCTGGATGCCAAAAACTGGCCCTGGATGCGCTTTGCAAACGTTCCTGAATTATGATGCCACATGATATCGTTCACCTTCATGATTTCGTCGCCGACCAAAACCGCCTTGTCTGGATG